TCGAATGATATTGTCGATGGGATCATCACTTTATATATGACTCTAGTTATATCGTATGATTGATTTGTTATTGAAATACATATATTGACTAGTCTTGGATACAACTGTCGACTTAATCCACGTTAGTGAATAACGGAATTAAATAAGTCAAATGAGAGAATGAATTTTTTGAATGGATATATTTTGTACACACAATCAAAGGAATGAAATGACGCCCAGCAAAGAAGGAGAGTGAGCTAACTATTAAATCAAGCGTTAATCAATATTTATAGCCGAAGGAAAAATAAGTTACAGACATGTGATGAATAAGATAAGAAGTTTTTGGTTGAGATCATGAATTAATTGATGTTAGACCACCGTTGGAAACCTGGAAGCACTGGACGGCCCTCTCGTCCTAGTATGGGACTCCTCAGCAGTGCGCATCCACGATCCCACACCCCGCGGGATTCGAACCCAGGGCCTACTGGCTTCGCGCCTGAGCACTTAACCATTAGACCACTGAGCCGGCATCCAATGGTGTTAGTGTCTAACATCAACCAATCCACGAAATTGCGCGACCACCTTCCATTGTACTGAGGTAGATACCTGTCTCTACCCGACACGGATTAGCTCCACTGGTCACGACTTCTCACTAGAACTCCGAGAATTCCCTCACGAAGCTAGTCTAACATCAATTAATTCATGATCTCAACCAAAAACTTAACAATCTCCACAACCCCCATACTGATAAGATAAGAAGTGTACACACACATATATATGCTCATATAAAATCAATTAGAGTTGACAAGATCAAAATGTGACTCAAGAAGATAAGACAAATTGATTTATCCAGAAGCTAAAGTCAACTACATGAGCTTAACATAATGACCGACAGTACATATCTACATCACAATGTTAGTGTTCACTACAGGACTCGAACTCAGTACCGTTCACTTAAAACACCATCTCAATTATTCACTTAGTTACTGATTCAAATAAACAATATGAGGTAGACTGTTTAAATTTGAATATGGATTTAATGTTAATATTTGATCATAACAACTGTTCTGTGAATCTTACTGTTATAATGAATTCTTTTTATTTCTATATTTAAATGTTTTTGTGTTGGGGACGTTAGATCCCTAGAACTCACTTGGGAAAGGACCTAATTTTGTAATTTTATTTATAAAATACTCAATATACTCGATATCATAAGAGGTCATGAATAGTTACCTTTATGGATTTTCAATTAAAAAGTCGATAGTTTATATTACAAATCGTAGTTACTTATATACTGGATAAACATTGGGGAGCCCTATACAGCTGTTTTGTCTTGGTGTATTACTCTTCTACACTGAACAGTTAGAATTTGTATCCATTGGTTTACAGTACTGATTTCAACCGATACGAGACATTTCACAATCATCATTCAATGCCATTGATAGTTGTCTGCCTCATGGCTTCTCACTAGTACTCCAGCAGTTACATTTACACACTGCTGACAAGTCCCATACTAAGTAGCTGTAAAATGTTTGCTGATTTTTCTATGTTCCTTTTATGATCCATATACGAAGCAAACCTAAATACGACAATCTTTATGGACCTTATATAATGATATGATTAAACAACTATTCAGTATGCACAAGTTCTGAACAGTACACAATATGTCATCAGTCTGTGAAGGGAAACACATTTTTGAATGAAACAGGACTACATTAATCACCAAAATAAAAATACAATAGTTTAAAGAATATTAGAATCTAATTACCATTCAGGTGTAAATATTAAAATATTTGATAAGTGTTATCTAGACTAATAGTTCGAATCCCAAACTAACACATTTATACTTTTTTCATTCAAATCATCGCCAACATATTCATTTGTTAATTTCTCTAGAAAGTGTATGATGAATTCTTACTTCGAACTGTTCAACTTACTTACTCACTCCTTTTACCCCTCATGGAGGAGCATAGGTTACCCGCCAGCACTCTTCATCAAACCCTATCCTGAGAAATCCTTTGCAGTTGTTAATCATCATTTTGATGCCTGCTTCCAATTCCCGAAGCCAGTTCCTCTTTGGCCTTCCACATTTTCGTTTCCGTCGATGATTCCAAGTTGGGGATTCCATCGTGATGCAGTTTGATGATTTCCTCAGTGTGTGTCCTATCCATTCCCACTAAATTTTACTAATTTCCTCCTCAGCTGCAAGTTGGATTGTCCTCTCCCACAGCAGGCCGTTCCTGATGGTATCAAACCAACGGACATCGGATATCTTGCGCAGACAATTGTTTATAAATACGTGTACTTTTTTGATGACGGTTGTGGTAGTTCTTCTAGATTCAGCTCTATATAGTAGAACTAACTGTCTTGACGTTCATATTGAAGATTCTGACTGTAATATTGGTTGACAGTTCTGATGAGTTCCATATGTTCCTCAGTTGTAGGAACGTTGTCCTTGCTTTGAATTTTTGAAAAAGGATGGGTGTTAGCTAGCAGTGAAAACTCAAACCCAATATCTATCTTTGAAAACTAATACTTCATCTAGAATTCAAACAATCATCATCTAACCACAGATTATAAGACATAATCACTGAGCTAATCAGACAATGGCTGACCTGGCCAGTGCAAACTTGAATTCTATGAAGAGTTCATTTTGTTCAAAACTTCATATATACTATACTGACGAGTGTTATAGAGTTCAAAATGTAGATTTTTATATTTATCATCAAATTTCTTTATCTGCCTAACATCGATCAATGTATATTCGATTTTGATTCATTCACTTTAGTATCCAGTCGGATTCTATAAGAACCAACAACTAGATGCTTATTTACTTACTTACGCCTGTTACTCCTCCTGAAGGAGCATAGGCCGCTCAGCAGCATTCTCTATCCAACCCTGTCCTGGGCAATCCTTTCCAGTTGTTATTCATCCTTTTCGTATCTGCTTCTATTTCATTACGTAATGTGTTCTTTGGCCTACCACTTTTCCACTTCCCTTCGTGATTTTCTCATAATGTATGTCCTATCCATTTCCATCTTTTTTTCCTAATTTCCTCTTCAGATGGAAGTTGATTTGTCCTCTCCCACAGTAGACTTTTGTTGATGATATCCGGTCGATCGATGTACAATATCCTTCGTAGACAACTATTTATAAATACTTGTACCTTCTTGATGATGGTTATAGTAGTTTATCAAGTTTCATCTTCGTACAGTAGAACTAGATAAATACAACATTGTTCATAACAGAATAATCTTTCTATTTAATTCAATGAATTCACAATCATATTGTAAATAACATGTGTTATGGTGAACAATTGTAAAATAGGTTAAGCGTTCACGCGCGCGAGACTGAAGGCCCTGGGTTCGAATCTTGGGAGCGGGATCGTGGATACTCACTGATGGGGAGCTCCACAATAGGACGAAACGGCCGTCCAGTGCTTCCAGGTTTCCGAAAATGGTCTGACATCGATCGCTTCATGATCTCAATCAAAAAATGTAAAGATTGATATAGCCTTTGGTTAAAAATGATTGAAATAAGATAATATAATTTGTACTATGGTACTTTTAATCAACTTTAGATAACTTAAAATGTTCTTCAAAGCAAAATGATTATCAGGTATCTTTTATGATCCTTTCTGTTTGTTCTATTAAGTCAATACTTCCTACCAATGGGAACAAACTTTTTTTCATTCAATTACTATTTTAGTGTAAATACACTTGAATTGACAATGAAATAATGACTAATAAAACCAAAATAGTAATTCATTTGATGTTGCCTCATTTGTATCTTCCTATTGTTGTTTAGGATTACAATGGATCAGTCTCTTATTGGCATATGTGCATACTGTGCGTATGCCTCGATATTGCCTTAATTTACAAGCATTATAAGCAAAGATGGATAGTGACTAGCAGTGGAATCCAGGACGCGCGTTTCGTCCTGTTTGGGACTCGTCAGCTGGATTTACCTGCATCCTAGAGTTAATATACACTCTGAAACACGGACCCAGTACTGTTCGCTTTAAATGTCATCACGTTATCTATTTAGCTACTGAGTCCTGATAGCCAATTGCTTGTGCAATGAGGTGAAGTTTTAATTCACTTAGTATTGTTTACTTGAATCTTCTCATTGATGTTTAGGACTGTTAAGTGTATAATGCAGTTGCGTTTGAAGCGAATAGTACTAGGTTCGAGTCTCAGAGTCAACATTACCTATGAGATGCAGGTACACCTGGTTGATGAACCCTAAATAGGACGAAACGCGCGTCGTGGATCCCATTACTAGCTACTATCAATCTTTTCTTAGAATATTTTTCATTATTATTTCAGTGTTTGATTAGGAATTCTATGATCAAATATCCTTTGATCTTCATTGTTTTTTGTTAATTGTTAACAAATAAAATCATTCAATCAAGCGAAACGATTTATTGATTGTATTCATTACAGATTAATCTTTATTAAGGTACAACTTCAAAGAAATTAAACGGTACTTATTATTTCAATAAGCTTATATCACTCATATTATGATACATTAGTAGTATGTCAATAAGATAGTAGTTGGAGGTAGTCCTGTTGATGGTGAACCGTACAGTTCTGGAACTGCACCGGTAGATGCCATCTATACTTTTTCCATGATATCCTAGTCACCTTTTAAACAGAAGCTTTCAGCCTGAACGCAGTTTTCAAGCTTAGTTCTCCCTAAGGTTGTGTATACTGTATTGAACATGGTAGTATCTAATTTGTTGAATGTTCATCTTAAAACCCATGTGCTTTTAAATCCCTTAGCTAAAACCTCACGGAAGAAGGCCGTTATCTTAAGATCATGAGTCACTGTCACTCCAATATCCTTGTGAGATCAGATCACGCATACAGGCACTTCGTCCATTCCGTACCTAGTTATAACCATACAACCTGGAGACATTATGACATGAGTCGAATGAAATGATATGTTATACATTTATTACTAACATATGCACATTTAAATATAATTTCATTTTCTTCTCTTATCTTTTGCATGAATAGCTCATCTCCCATTACAATGTTGGATACCTCAAGAATTTTCACGTAGTTGGGAAGAATATGCTGAACATTATTGTTGGGTAACAAATACATATTTTACTAATGTTCAATCAGCTATTCCACCTGTTAATAATCGTACAACAGTTGTACGTTATTATCAATGGGCTACATTTGTATTCATATTACAAGCTGCTGGATTTTTTCTACCATGTCTTATTTGGAGATTACTTCAGGTAGATTCAAGTTTTAAACACAAGTTGGTCAATATGAACTTTGAAATCTTAATTGACTATTGACATTACTGAGTTAGAGTTAAAAGGATTTTAGTGTAGTGAATGAGAATACACAAAAGTGGGGACAATCAAATGTATTTGACTACAATATTACAGAATATCTTAGTAAAATTTGGGATTCATACAGTAGATAATTCATTTGCAAAATGTTAACCAATCATGTCAGACTTCATTGTTCTTTCGTTCCCACATCAATCCTTTTCTGTTCTCATTCCTTTCTCTTTGACCTTCATCTTCTGCCTCTAGACATTTCACTTTCAATTGATGATACATACTACTTATATTATCTGTCGACATCAGTCGTATGCATCACAATAGTAGTACTTAACGATAAAATTACAAAATATTCATCATGGTTTAGTGATTGCCAATTAGATGTTAACAGTTCCGGAATAGACATCTTAATAATGTTTATTTGGTGAGACTATAATTTATGGAACATCTTTGAGCGACGCTGAAGTGATCTTGATAGTGTCTACCTAATAAATAGGACCAAATGAAGGTTATGAAACATTGTGGGCGATTAGATTTATGATTTACAGTTAATGGCTAGGGTTAAGAATTAGTTTTAGGGTTTTCATCATGAACTGACATCAGTTATAATGTCATAACTCTACTTAGCTAATCCGAGACCTGTTATCATTGTATGTGAATGATTCGTCCATAAATTATAGTCTCACCGTTCATTCTTTTCAATGCATATTGTCAACAAGCACGATGTATCTAATTGAACTCTTTTGTAACTTGTATAACGAAATGTCGTCAACTTTTCATAAAGGCAGTTGAATAGTTTATGAGACTAATAGCCATAATGATGTGTTTTGAAACATACAAACAGAAAACAGACAACTTGTTGAAAGATCCAGATGACAGTAACAAGTAGCCCAGATGTACAGTCAGGTCGCCTGACCAATTTAGATATTCATTGACGTATCATTTTAAAGTTTGATAATTCTTTTAATTCAATGTCACAATCACCAGATTTGTTTTGTTATTATGGCAAATATCATAAACATGTAGATATGATCCATAGGAGTTAACATAACTATACCAGACCTTTATGGTGTTGGTTTCAATTGCAGAGTTTCATTAATTATCCTTCACATTCTATATGATTCTTTTAGTTTACAATTTCTTTCTTTTTCCCTTACGATTCTCTTCAATGTGATCTTCTTAGCTTTCTGCTGCCAGGTATTTCACTTCTCATAGTGTTACATATTACTTATGTCGTCAGATATAAGTAGCATATATTAAAGTATAACTGAAAACTGTAAGTGATCAAAAGGGAATGTTTTCAGTGTTAAAAATAAAACTTGTGTTATGATGGATAATCATATATCCCAATAACTGTTTATGACCATGAATAGATCGTTAGGGACTGATCTAAATTACGATAGACATAGTCAGTCAGCTACAACGTAGGACCAGGCACATATGTGCATCGGTCCAGTTTGCCATACCTCATTAGCACAGCAAGATGAACACCTGATTCATAGCAGTGGTTAGGTCAAAGGTTGCAATAAGGATATAGTATAGGAAGAAAGAATTAGTTCGTAGAAAGAGAGATATGAAGTGATTTTAGTCTCTTAGTTTAAGGGAAGACAGGGAGTGTATACACCGACGCCATTGTGATCGATTCTGAGTCATGTCACCAAGAGTCTCCAACCATTGGTTACGAAAGTCACGCGGACACCAACCAAGTAGTCTGCATCTACCAACATGGCTCAGACTAGAAGTTAGTGACTTCAAGCACTGATGCCACGTTTTGGTTTGGCCGCCCCTAACTTTCTTCCAACCATCCCCTACCCCGGTTAGCATTGCACGTCGTGGTAATCGGTGTTCAGGCATACGTAATACGTGGCCCAACCATCTCAGTCGATGAAGATTCATAACCTCATCAACTGATTTACCATCATTCCCTAATACCCTGCGTGACTTACCATTGCATAATAATCAATGTTATTATCTGTTTAGTTCTTGGTGTTGTACGGAGTTTCTTAATTAAAAGACTAAGCGATTCGACATCACATTCATTACATTTTATTACTGGACAATTTGTGATAGTCGGTTGGAAATCATGAGCCAGGATTTCACACTACTTGAATATCGTCATCAAAGGTGTATTTATAGTTTTGAAAGAACCTATGATGTTTGCAGAGTTCAAATCTTCAACACTCATTGATGTAGTCTCCGTCTAGCCGGATGATAATTCAGTGATGATATTTGAGACTGTGAAACTGGATGACAAGGATCCAATTCACACAGGAAGCACTAGTTCTGTCAGTACAGCAAATGTAGATTGCTAAATAGTACCAACTATCACGAAAGTTTGACCCAGAGTGTTTTTCTAACCAATTCTAACCGCTCAACATATTGACTTAATAATACAAAATAGCTGCAGCAGTTTCCTTCAAACGAAATGATATCAAAAGACAGAATAATCTCATAAACATAATGTAGAATGCTTATTATGGTCGTTTGTATTGGTTGATATCAATACCAATGTAGGAGTTGTTAGTTTCAAATAAACTGATCATTGAGGAGAATTTGATTGTTGTATTGAAAATCAAGAAACGACTTACATTAGATCACAAAACGTAAGAAATATTAGTTTCTACTAATCGGGATATCACTAAAGTATGATGATTCTACTATTGTTTTCATTGGTTATTTGAATCTAATCTAATCTATTCACACTGGCTAGTAAGCAGATAGAAGTAGTTCAGAATTTTGTGTATCTGGGTAGCTGTGTAAGTGCTGGTGGTGGCGTGAGCAATATGACCAATTCACATATAATGAAAGCCAATCCGGCTTATGCCAATGTGGACCATTTTTGGCGGCTTCATGATGTTAGTCAGACTGTAAAACGCCGGGTAAGAGCAGTTCTGCTCTAGGCTTCTTCGAGTTGAGGATTTTAAACGACTCTCTGTTTGGTCATCGCTGTCTCGAATTCTACTACTAGCCACTAACCAACTTTACTTAAAATGTTTATTATGATCGATTTATTTACTGTTATCTATTAAGTTAATGAAACATTTTGAATTTTCTCATTCAGAATCATTCAGGATTTCATGTTCAACGAATAATGCGTAGTGCAATTCGTTTAAATTATGCTGAAACAGATTCATCACAATTAATTACATATGGATTAGCACGATATATTGATAATGTTATTTATCATAGATCATATAAACAATGGCGTATTCATTCACCAAAGATAAAATCACATTTCAAACATAAATCATCAAAGAATCATTCTATGATTAAATCTCCTCAAAAGTCTACTTCTCATACATCATCTTCTACAACATTGACATCAACATCACATGATATTGGCACTGAGACAAAACTTGTTAAATTTGATAATGAATCATTGCCAACAAAACAAACATCACATCCATGTAAAACTTTACCAAGTGAATGTACCGTGCCAAGAAGTTATAAAAAACAACGTGCACCACAACCGCCAGTAACCATCACCACTTCTACTACTACTACTACCACAACTACTGTTATTACTACTAATACTACAACTGCAACTACAGCTGTTATGGTCACTACAAAGAATTCTTTAAAAGTAAACTCTGATCAAATCATTTATACATCTAGTCCTATATTAAAATCTACATCAAATAGTACACAATCAAAATTGAATTCTTTATCATTAAAACAAAATGATCATAGAAAATTCTATTCACCTATATGTAATACATGTGGATTATGTTTTAATAATTTATCAATAATCGATAGAAAAATCAAAACAAGATCAACTCAACCGTTAGTAACTACTTCTACAATAACAGAAATATCACCACCACCACCACCATCATCATCATCATCATCTTCATCATCATCACCCCCACCACCACCAACAACAACAACAACAACGCCAACCGAGTTAACAACCGGTGCAACTTTATTCAACTCAAAGAATAATTCAAGTAAGAGATATTGAATGATTCCTATTCATATACATTAATTCTAAATTATTCACCAGATAACCATTTTTTTAAAAATATGAAATTCAATAGTTTAATAGTTATCCCATTTTTTTAAAATATACTTTGATGTTTTCCCAGTTTCCTAAGCTATTCTACTAATCCCTTGGTTGAATCTCCATAGCAACTTGAACACAAGGGAAAATGAGCGAAATATGAGAAAAAAACGTTTTTATGTAAAGAAAATCTAGGATATTTATCGCATTTTAGATGGAATCAGGCTTCCGGAAAATTCTAGAATGCTGCTAAACATAGTAACAGTATATGTAATCATTTAATGAGAAATGCAACATGTGACTTTTCATTTTTTTGGTGTTTTGTGGAGATTGTAGTAATTTCAATGGTTAAGATCATGAGTCAATTGAAGCTAGACCATCCTGGAAAACCTGGAAGCACTGGACGGCGGTTTCGTTCTAGTATGGGACTCCTCAGCAGTGGGCGTCCATGACCCCGCACCCCGTGAGATTGGAACCCAGGACCTATTAGTCTCGCGCCAGGTGCTTAACCAACTAGACCACTGAGCTAGTCGGCATCCAACGGTGTTAATGTCTAACTTCAACCAATCCACGAAGTTGCGCCACCGTATACCATTGTCTTCAGCGAGCTGATATCTCACAACAGACTTCATTGAAGTCCACTGATAACGCCTTCTCACTAGAACTCCAGGAGTGTCTCTTGAAGTCAGTCACTAGTTAGCAGGTGATTATTATCGGAAGGGGTCTTGTGGAGATTTTAGATATTTTTCTGATAAAACGTGGTTGTAACTATCTTATTTACAAGGTGATTGATTTTTAGTGGCAATGTAATATCTGACTCCAATTAAATAGTATGATTAATTGTTATTGAAATATACATAATGCCCAATCCTCGTATATAATTATCGACTTAGATCGCGTTAGTGAATAACGGAATTAAATAAGTCGAATAATGAGAATGGATTTTGGAAACGTTTATTTTGTACACTCATTGATCTGGTCAAACAATGAAAGGGAAAAAGTGAAGGAAGCGAACTGATGCTAAATGGAGAAGGCCTGTCTGCCAACTTCATTTATTCAAACGTTAATTGATATATATAGTCACACAAAAATAAGTTACAGACTGATATGTCCTAAGTTCGAATCCCGTGAGGCGGGGTATCGCAATAGGAAGAAACAGCCATCCAGTGCTTCCTGATTTTCCATCGTGGTCTAGCTTCAATTGACTCATGATCTCAACTATTGAAATTACAGACATGTGTTGAGTACTTACTCACTTACTTACTTACGCCTGTTACTCCTCGTGAAGGAGCATAGGCCGCTCACCAGCATTCTCCATCCAACCCTGTCCTGGGCAATCCTTTCTAGCTCCGTCCAGTTGTAATTCATCGTTTTCATATCTGCTTCTATTATCCGACGTAATGTGTTCTTAGGCCTTCCTCTTTTCCGCTTCCCTTTAGGATTCCAAGTTAGAGCTTGCCTCGTGATGCAGTTTGATGATTTGCGTAATGTATGTCCTATCCATTTCCAGTATTACTTTTTCATCTTGTTTTCTCTTTACTTATCAAATGTTTTACTTCATGAAGCAATGTCATTTAGTTGTCATGGTAACATTCACAATTTTATGAATAGTTTTTTAAAAAAAAACTCTTACTCATCATTTCAGCAGTTAGACTCATTTCATTTCGCCATTATTTATTTCTGTTCAAGCAAATAGTAGTGGGTACCGTTTTCCTTATTCTCAATAGGTATCCCATTAAATATCAGGTATAATATTTGTAGTAAAACAAGTCATGACATTTATAATCAGTTATTGAATAGATCAGTTACAGAATAATTCGATTGTTTCTTGACGTTATAATGGTTTGCCCTATGTCCAACCCACATTGATTAATATAGTTTCTGGACAGACCAGTCTATTTATTCTAAATAAATCACATTTTGACCCTTTTAATCATTCGCTTTGCCTCGCCTTGTTTCGTCTTACTTCGCTTCACCTCGATATTGAGTAACACTTAATCAAAGTGAGTTGGCTAACATGTCATCTATGGTTCGTTTCACTTTGCTCTAACCTCTTCCCCTCCTTCTCTTTGTCTCTCTGATTGTCTGTTCTGATCAATAATCGTACAAAATATAAGTAATCAAAACTTTATTCTTGTATTTCACTTATTGTAAATCCATTATTCACCTACGTGATTTACATCGATGATTAAATAAGAAGATTAGAGATATTTATAGGTGGATAACGATAATGATCATGAGATGAAACTGGAGTCAGATAATAGGCCACAAAAACATTATAAACATTTGAAAATTTGATAATGTTGATAAACTAAGGTAAAATATTTATGAAAAGAATACCTTATATTCAGTTGAAAATGTTTGTCATTAATAAACATACCTTGGTGATTATGGTGGAGTTTTATTCTGTAGGTTCCACGACTAAGTCATCCAGTTCAGAGAACAAAACTTCACCAAAATCATTCACCTGAACAACAAATCTCCGGTATATTTTAAGACATTAATGATAATATAGTGATATCCACAAAGGGTATCAGGCCTATGTATGTGAGTAAGTTGTGCACAGACCGAATTGAAACACTACAGATCATCGTTGAACAATCAGTTGAATGGAACTCGTCACCATATTAAACTTCCTCGACTATGAAATATCGTTTGACAGTGTGGATGGAAGAACATTATAAAAACTTCTTCGGCACTATGGTGTACCTGACATGCGGAATTTATACGACGGACAATAGTGTAAAGTGGTGCAGCTGACAGACACGTTCTAAGTGAGGAGCGAAGTTAGACAAGGCCGCCTACACTCTTCCTTTCTCGTTGTTTTGGTGATTTACCAGATTATGAAGACATGTACATCTGAGAGGATGCATAGAAGACAACGGATAGGTTGGATCCAACTAGACCCTGCAGATGAATTGTTACTTCTATCCCATACACATCAACAAATTCAGGTTAACATAAACAGTGTAGCAGCAGTCTCTGCATCACTAGGCCTCAAGGTACACAAGGGAAAAAAAAAGATCTTCAAATGCAACACAATGAGAATCGATCAAATCACACGTGATGGAGAAGCTCTAGAAGATGTGGAATCTTTCACGTACCTAACTGGATAGTATCATCGATTAACGTGAAGGATTTGATGCCGACGTAAATGTGGGGATTGACCGATTAAGGTCAGCGTTCCTACAGTTCTAGAACACATGAAACTCAAACTAATCTATCAACCAATATCAAAGTCACAACCTTCAATACGATAATCTATATAGTTCTACTGTACAGAGTTGAAACATGGAGAAGTACCATAATCATCATCAGGAGAGTACAAGTATTTATAAACAATTGTCTACAAAAGATGCAATGCTAACTTTAAATCCAGAAAGGAAACGGAAAAGAGGGAGACGAAATAACATACACTACGTTGAGAATCAGAAGTAGACATGAATAGGATGAACAGTAACTGAAAAATATTGAAAACAATTGTGCAGAATAGAGTTGGACGGAGAATACTGTTGAGTGGTCTATGCTCCTTTATGATGGGTGACAGGCATAAGTAATCAAGCAAGTAAGTAAGTAAGTGAGAGAATATTTTTGTTGAAAGAATATTATTACTTACTTGCTTACTTACTTACGCCCGTTACTCCTAATGGAGCAAAGGCCGCCGACCAGCATTCTACAACACACTCTGTCCTGGGCCTTCTTTTCTAATTCCATCCAATTCTTGTTCATTCTTCTCATGTCTGCCTGTCTCCATTTCTCGGCATAATGTGTTCTTTGGTATTCCTCTTCTCCTTTGGCATTGAGGATTACAAGTGAGAGCTGGCCTTAGGTGCATTCCTTGATATGTGTCTTATCCAATTCCAACAATTCTTCCTGATTTCTTCCTCCACTGAAATCTGGTTTGTTCTCTCCCACTGTAGGTTATTCATGATAGTTGCTGATAGTAAACGGATCCGAAGTATTCTGTGAAGACAACTGTTTATAAACACTTGTATTTTCTGGATGATGGCTTTCATGGTTCTCTAGGTTCCTGCTTCATACAGTAGCACTGTCTTGATTTCTGTATTGAAAATTCTGACCCTGGTGTTGGTTGACAATTATTTTGAGTTTCAGATGTTGTTCAGTTGTAAATATGCTGCTCCTGCTTCACCGATTCGCGCGTTCACATATGCATCAGATCCACCATGTTCATCAATGATGCTGCCCAAATATGTAAAGATTTTTGCATCGTGCAAAGCTTCTCCGTCAATTGTAACTGCATTGGTGCATGCTGTGTTGTATCGGAGAATCTTGCCTTTCCCTTTGTGTATATTGAGACCTACTGCTGCTACACTGGTCGTGTTCTCCTGCATTTGTTGTTTCGATTGCGATAGAAGGGCCAAATCATCTGTGAAGTCTAGATCATCCAACTGCATCCTATCTGTCCACTGTATCCCGTGCTTCCCTCCAGATGGTCAAGTCTTCATGATCCAGTCGATCACCAGGAGAAAGAGATACAATTGATCATTGCTACCTGATCAATATTAATATTAACTGGAAATAATCAAATGAATAAAATTTGAACTTCCCGTAAAAATTCAAGAGAAAAGAAAAAAAAGTTTAATATAACCCTGATGTAGAAAAAAAACAAAAAAAAATAATTAAATAAATTTACCAAATCTATTTGGAAACTAAATAGAAACCTTCTCAGTGGGTGTGAACAAAGTTAAAAAGAAAAAAAAAACTTTTTTTTATTTTTGAAGTTAAAAAGTTCACAAGTTTTCTTTTCTTTCTTTTTTTTTTCTTTTAAAAAATCGATTTTTGAAAATTCATTAAATTATGTTTAATAAACCAAAAAGAAAACAGCTGATATTTCATTGTTCATATTCACATACCATCTCTTTTAAGTAAAGTTGGATAATGGTTAGCCGGTGGAATCCAGGACGAGGGTTTCATTCAATCGAGGAG